ATGGAGATTTCAGAGCTCTTCTGGGCCCTTGTTCCAGTGTTTGACCATACTCATGAGGAGCAAGTTTTCCTTATTTAAGGAGAGTTTCCTTTTTTGAAACTTATTTTCATTGCCTCTTGTCCCATCAGTATCTAGCTCTGTCTTCTCTGTAGGCTCCTGTGAGGTACATATATACCTACTGTGAGGTACATAGAGGCTTTTAAGACTCCTTTTTTTTAGCCTTTTCTTTGCAAGAGTGAACCAATGCAGCTCCCTCTGCTTTTCCTTTTGCATCATGGGCTCCAGCCCCAGACCATCTTAGCATTCATCTGCTGGAATTGCTTCAGTTTATCGATGTCTTGTACTGGAGAACCCCAAACTGGACACCAGTACTCTAAGTGCTGTCTCACAAGTGCCAAATAGAGGGGAATAATCCCTTCCCTTGACCTCCTAGCTGCATGTGTACTAATGTAGTCAGTATGCAGTTAGCTTTCATTGCTGCAAGAACGTCCTGCTGACTCGTGTAGCTTGTCCAACAGGACCCTGGAATCCTTTTCTGCAGACCCAGACAGTCAGTCACCAGTACCAATGCATGGGGGTTATTTTGTACCAGGCTCATGACTTTCAATTTGCATTTACTGAATTTCATAATACTCCTGTCAGCCTGTTTCTTCCACCTGTGTGTCTGTGGGGAAGTGAGATGAGAGTGGGGTGGATCAGCTCTATTCACGTGGGCAAACTCTTCATGTAGATAAGACCCTCTGTACTGACCACAGCAGATGTTGAACTTGGTCAGATGTTTTTATCTCTAGTTTGAACTGCATGGCAATATTCAGAGGTCCTTGCTCTAAACGTATGCCTCACTTAGGATCAAAGGGTGAACATTTTTTTTGCATATCATTTTCAAGGAATGGTCAAGGTACTGTAAGAGAATCAGTATTTCAAGCGTTTCTTCCAGTGCTGTTCTACCTGGTCAGTCAATCACATGGTCTCCTGGGAGCTCGTTCTAGGTTCACTGACTTATGCGGATTTCACGAAGCATCTTCATGTTTCTTAATTAGCTTAATAAATTAGTCAGAAGTTGTGGTACAGAGCAAAATTGAAGCTGAGTGGCAAGATGTTGACAAATGAGAGGAGACTGGATTTGCTTTTGACAAAACTCCTTGGTCCTTCGTTTGCTGTGAATGTAACTGAGAGATTAGCATTTGTCACAACTTGTGTCTTAAGGCGTGTACACATACAAGCTCCGTAGGCTCTTGCTGATGTTACTGGTTGTTGCTGTAGAAGGGGGAAACTGAGTCAGAAAGCAAATGCTGCCTGCCTATTGCCACGGAGGAGTTGTGGGTCAGAACTGCCCACAATTCTCTCCTTGTGCTGCTTATTCACATCACTCAGGTCATTTCTGCCTTCATCATCAGATCTGGCAGTGCTGCAGAGCTGCCTGCTTGCTAAATCTCATTCTATCAACACTTGAAACAAGATTAAAGAAAGATTAGTGTCATAGATGTAGTGTGGTTAGAGACCATGGCCATAAAATCAGTGCAGTTATAGACATTATTTATATAATTTCCATGCACGTTCTGCCCTCAAAGCCTAGTTTCCTTACCTGCACATTTACTTTATTCAGCTTCTTGTTGGATATGTATTGTATGTCATTAGCAGTGGAAAATACAGTTGAAACCTCTCTTTCTCAGTTGAATAATGCAGTATGACAAATACCAGTGGGCTGATAAAGTCTTTGAATAAAGCTGTAGCCAATTTCTATTTAAAACATTTGAAGGAGTCATTATTTTACTCACAGGCCACTCTTAAAGTTAGGCACATGCTGTGTTGTGTTCTTTTATGATGTATAAAGAAGTCTTTGCGCTCCTCTGGCTTTTCCTTTAGCCTTTTCTGCTTTGATTACTTCCATATGCGGAGGGTATTTTGCAGTCATCTATGCAGCAGCCTGAGAGGGCAGCCAGTCCAGGAATGCATCTTTGTGACATCTCTGTCACCAGCGCTGATGGTTGTTCCCCTGTCTGATGATTTCTGGCAAATTGTTGGATCTGGATTACCCAAGAAATGTAATTTTCGGATCTGGTTTGTCTCACCAAGTGACTGCATGAGCATTGGAGCCAATACAACAGAAGGAGAAGGCTTCAGGAGCAAAAGACAGCCTTTTAGAAGTAGCCCAATTAGATTGGCTTAAATTCATCTGACCCTGGCAAAGTGATGGGTTCATGAAAGTCAGAAATAGGAAAATTTGACAGTCAAGAGGGAAGAAAGGTTTGTGTCAGCCTGCATTTGGGTAATTTATCTATTTTCAACAGACATACTCTGCAACATACAGTTTTAAGGATGAATGTAGAGCTGAACATCAATGCTACCCACCAAAAAGTCCAATGAAACTATGCCAAGTTTCAATGGTCTCAATACTTTAGGTGATAAATAAAAAACCTAAATATCTGAGATTATGGCAGAGACAGAAAAAAATGTTTCTAGCCTTCTTTTTCATTGTAGAAAGTGCAAAATGTCCAATACCCGTCCATAACTAATTCCTTATCAGCTCACTTTACGTAAGAGAGCAATAGCTGGTACAAATTTTGGTCACTTGCCTCACATTAGGTACTGTTGGTCAGATCAGAGCACTGTGGCTGCTAAAATGGGGAGAGCATAACATATTTTAGTGATCCTAAATTCTTGGTGGGGACCACCCTGATGGAAAGGGCATGTAACTGGTTTTGTAGCTGAAAGTTGTGCACAACTTCCCATGGTATTACAGCCCCTCGGGTCCTTCCCCAGTCCAGTTTCCATAAATCTCTCCTATTGCTTGTAGATGTGTCCAGGACTCCACTGTTAGAAAGATTGTCCTTTTCAAAATGTAAAATTTTATCACCTAATTCATCTTTTATCATAGGCAAGTACAGGATCTGAGGAGAAGGCTGTAATTAGGTGATTCTGACCAAAGCTGAAACACCAGAAACAAAGTTGATAGCATTGTTTGTTGGGTTTTTTAAATTATTATTATTTTACCCACTTGTACAGATCTGAGCACTCTTACCACTTACTGATGTGTGAGGACGGTGATCTTGGGGAATTAGCATCCGAATGAGTATGTGCAAATGAGCTGCTCTGGTCTGTGATAGAAATGGTTCTTGAAGGAGTCATGCCACTTGACTTGAAAGCAAATATACTAATACCTGAGCAGGCACTGAGAAATAAATTATAGTATTTGGTTTGTCCATGTGACATTTTTTTGTGCCACAGTTCTTCTTGAATATCATTATATTGAGAGGATATAATTGGATTAACTTATTACAGGGGTAGAGCAATGGTAATAGTACTTAAATCTTTCATGTTTTTATGAAGTCACTTTTTTTTTTTTTTAAAAAAAAATGCTGTTCATTGAGCAGTAAAAAGAGCTGAAGTCTTGCAAGGAATGCAAAGAAATAAAACCTGGCACAGCGAAAGGCTTTCAGCACAATATAAATGTTGAGCCTTTAAAATCACAAATCATCTTTCTATTAATTCACTGTAGAATAAGGTCTCCTCAAGATAAGACTCAGCAGTGCTGTGGAGTTGGTATTTAAAGTATGTCCATCTGCATCTAAACGAGTAGCTCCAAGACAATCAGATTATGCGGTAGTTACTTTGGTGAGAATATCGCCTAAGTGGAATGGAAACTTCATTTTGAGTCTAATATTAGACCCTGCTTTGGAAAATTCCTTTTAAATGATCACAAGCTGGGAATAGCAAAAGAATTTAACTTTCGACAGACAGCATTCACCAAGAATTTGTTTTTAACTGCTTATGTTGGGTCCCTGGGAAAGCAGATGTGAAAAACTTACCAAAGTGAATTGACTTGACCTGATGCAATGTTTATATCAGTGGTTGATAAGTTTTCCTCCCTTGTCTAATTTGTTCAGGATATTTTCATTCTTTAAGCATGAGTAAGTCTGGGTTGGAATAGTTCGAATGCCTGTTAGTCTAATAATCTGAATCTTAAAACATGCAGACATTATTGCCTATAAAGGGGTCTAAGCAAAGTTGAACTATTTTGATTATCTTCCACAGATGGGGATAAGTGTCGTTTTTGAGACTAGCAAAGAGGAATGTGAAGCAATGTTTCTTACCTCTGCATAGTTCAGAAAGCATATTGATATCTGCTGAATTTATACTTCAAAATGCCACTTGCATTTGGTGAGCCCTTTGAATACATGTTACGTTTTAAGCAGCTTTACAAAGGACTGTCTTTCAATGGCAGATAGGGAAACTGGCAACCAAGGATATCAAAACAGATTCAAAATATTGTTATTATTGTTATTCCTGTGGCAGAAAGGACTTCAGAAATTTTAGAATACGCTGTGAATGATGCACAGCTCAGGGATCTTTAGAGCTCCTTGTTATCTCATCTTAGCTTTTCTCTTTGTTGATCAGACACTGTCACTTTGAATATGTTAATTAATTCCTAAATAACACACATCCCCACACCCCCAACATATGGAGCCTTTTGATTATTTTTGAGGGAGGGAGGAGAAAAAGAGAAACTCATGGATTGGGCTGACCTCTTCTCCCCAGCTCTACCCTGTCCATGTGCTTCTGTGGTTTGGCCATTGTTGCTGTTGTTTCCAAGCTCGAGGAGAGCATCCACAGGAGTTCGCTGCAAAGGAGGGCTCCAGCCTGGCCTTCCTCTGCAAGTGCCTGAGACAAGAAGTGGAACGGCCGTCAACAAGATAATATATTGAATTCAATGCCAGGGTGACAGTTTCACTGGGAAATACATTAGAAAGAGAACACTGATCACTTCAGCTGCTCTTCTTTAGTGCATTATGTGGATTTATGTGACACAGGAATGCATTTCTCAGATAGAAATCAAATTATGATTTTAAGCGTCTTTTAAACTTTGACTCTCTTTTCATGAAGCCTGGCGCCAACCTTTTTGTCTTTTTGTTTACACCTGCGTGTCTGTAATTCTGCTGTAGTTTCTGATCTTTCAGGAATTTCTAAAATGTCTAAATTGCTGATCTGTCTTCTTGCAGGCAAGTCTCACCTGGCTATAGTACAAAGAGTAAACAATGAAGGAGAAGGGGATCCTTTTTATGAAGTCCTGGGAATTGTCACTTTAGAAGATGTGATTGAAGAGATCATCAAGTCTGAAATTCTGGATGAAACAGATCTATACAGTGAGTAGAAATATTTACACTTTGTTTATAGATGAGAGGGAAGACTCCATCCAGCAGCAGTTCTGTTTAATAGCTGTGTTCTGAGAGATGTTAAATTGCTGATTTGAAATCTCAATGGTCAAATGACCTCAAGATCCCTCAGATGGTCTAAGTAATTTTTGGTTTTGCAGCATGGGTACCTCACCCCTTTATGCTGTATTAATTCAAAAATAGGACAGGTTTCTTTGACTCTTCCATCAAGAAGTTTTACATCTGTAACAATCTGGTCTCTCTTGCTAGCTGTTCTCCACCACAGCAGCCTTGTTAAACCTTTTTGTTGCAGTGCTCATGACCTCCCACATTTCCCCCTAACCTCTCTCCACCTCAAGGGCCTGTAGTCCGTGTACTACTGTACTTTTAGCAAGAAGGCAGGCGAATACCATGGCTCAAGGAAGGGAAATGAAGTGTCGTTAGAGTGTCTCTCTGTCACTCATTCAGAAAACTTGAGAATGGAAGGTCTTCTTCAGGGCTGAAAAATAGCATATCCTAAATGACTCCTCTTTTTATCACTCAGTACATCTTCTTCCTTCCTTTGTGTTAACATATGTTGAGGGAGATGATGCTGCAGGTCAACCATTACCTGAAATTTGAGAGATCTGTACTCTTTTCTTTCCCAATTTAGAGTTTGTCTGGTCTTTGGCCAGTTACCTAAGTGTCTTTGCTTCTCTTCTCATCTGCACAGTCTGGCTTGTGCATATGGGACTTCCTTTCTGTCATTCTTCATCTGTCTTATCTGTGCTTTGATCACTTGCTGGCAGATGCTATTTTTTACTATGTGTTCACATGTAGCACAAGGATGTCTCTAGATTCTATTGTAATAGAAATAATAGTTTTAAATATCTTCAACACTGTCCAGCTGTCTTTTGCTTTCTTTTTCTTTCCTCGTGAAAAGGATCTGAATGTTTCCACAGCATCTTTTTCAGGCCAATGCAAGCATCTTCTATCCCCGCTCCAAGCCAAATGAGCACTTTACACTGTGAGATAGACATACTTCTACTTTTTCTAATAGATTGTTGTTGCCTGAACTCCTCTCTGTCAGTGTTTCACCAGTATTTATATGCCTAAAGTTTCATGTAAATCACAGTTGTGTTTTATGATATGCTAAACAGTCTAATTACTATGCAAATCACAGAAGTCCGGTTAGTATCGATTTTCTTTTCATACCTTCACAAATGAATTGTTGGGCTAATCAGTTACAACATAATGCTTTTACAGGGTGAATTCAGGCTTTCTTTTATACTCCAAAAAGATCCTGCCTTTGTTTCGTCAGCTTTGAGATGTTTCCACATTTCTGCGAGTGAAAAGACACTGCATATGCTTTTTAATGCTTTTTTCCCTTGTTTGTTAAGACAAACAACATAGATCATACTGTGTTGTTCTTCAGGACAAAAAAAGCTTTGACCATTAACAGCATGTTAGAGGGCAAGGAAATGAGAATTTATTTTACTATCTGAAGACTCCCTAGATTAATAAAATAGAGCTGGTGGATATGAGTTCATTTCAAACACTCCTTCCTGGGAAGGTTTTACTTCTGAAAATTCCTAGTTCAGAACAGGAGGGAAACCTCACTTCCTAGGCTTCCTGGAGGATGCAGGAAATTTTGGGGAGTGACTCTTGCTATGTACGACGAAGATGAATTTCTAGTTTCTTTATGAAGCACTGAAGTTCATTCCACTGTTTAGATTGAAGGAAACTGTAGCAGTAAGGGAGAGAGCAGAAATCCAGAGAAGCTGTGATAGTCACGGAATATGTGATACGTGTTGGATTTGGGCAGATCGATGTGCTGTAGCCACTTCCAATTAGTGTAGTGATGGGAACATGCTTTGGGTTTACTGAAGGTACCTTATTGTCTACGGTATGTTAAGGCAGCTCGGTTTTGATGATGATATCAGCGTGTCAGTGCTAGTAACCTCATCGAGTACTAGAGTTCTCTGATGCTGTTTGTTTGAAGACCAAGCTGGCTTGCTCAGCTCAGACCAAGCCAACTTGAAGTCTTTGGACTGATTTGCTCTATGCTAGGTGTTTACTTAAAAGTAGACCTTATGAAAAATTTTGGCAGCGTTGTTACGCCTTTGTTCTGAAGTTTTAAAAATGTTTTGTTTTGCTTTAATGGAAACTTGAAATTTGATGAAATGGCTGACCTTGGTGTTGGAGCTGTGCCTGTCTGCTGTTTCCATGAAAATCCATTTGAACTGTGTTAGGGTAGAAGCAATTGTGTATTTACAGTTTTTGCTGAAAGCTGCTCTCGCTGCTGAAGCTCTGCAGCTGAATTTCTCAAGGGTTGTGTGCCCAATAAACATGTAGTATTTCTTGAGATTGCTCTAGTCTGCTATGTCTTATGGCTTGCAGAGGACAAGAAGATGGGAGCAAGAAAAATTGTTAAATATGCCTGACCTATCAACATGTGGATAGACTAAAGTACTTCTGAGTGTGAGATTTTGTATTTGGGATGCTGACGGGGTGGTGAGAAGAGGTTTCTGCCATGACACAGGTAGGCTCTGACTATGTCTCAGCCAGTTTCATGATGAAGAACTGTCAGTGCATTTCGCTCTTGCAAAATTGAAGCATTTTTTCATGGTTGATGCGCTACAGGAATCTGTTCTGCACTCTCATTGCCTTAGCCATAGTGGGAGAGCATTTCTCAACCTTCTCAGAGGCCCAAGAGAGGAAGCTTTATGTTCTGTGTTGGCCTCAGACCACACAGTTCACTTGAGGAATGTGGGGTTCACCGTTCTGACCTGCGTTTGACTAGTGGCCTGTCTTATTTAGTGCTTTCTAATTGAAGGTGAGTTTAATCATCCCCTTAGTGCAACTGGACTGCTGCTGGGTTTAATGCATACAGATTCAGAGAGGGTTTGCCCCACATAAAATGTGTGATTTTTCTACAAATGAAATACTTGACAGACCCTTGTGCACGTATTCTACATGTTGCAGATAAATAGTCTGGTTGTAAGCATCAGCTTATGTTGCCTTTTTACATCCTCAGCCGTGTGCTGTTCAACAGTCTGTTGTTCAACAGTCTGTCTCGGTGAATATGACCCCTGGCAAGCCTGTGCTGCGGGGGTGTTCAGTGCCAGGCTGTGGGGCACCTTTGTTACAGCTGCACTGCTGCGGCTGCAATAGCTGTCACCTAGTGATTTTAGCCTTGGCAAGTCACTTCCCTGAGGGGAAGACCACATCTTACCTGAACATTCCTATTTCCAAATAGCTGTTAAAACAGGTACATTAAATATATGTGCTAGTAAACTCTGTGTCACTTCTCCCATTTAAACCACGGAGCTACGGGAATGAAAATTGTTTGCCCTAATAAGTATTTCCACTGTCATCCAGTGAAAGTGTAGCGACATAGAAAAGGTTGTGCAGCGCTGATTTGTCTGGCAAGACCTACAGATATTGGCATGGTGTACATCGGTATCCTACACCAGGAGAGCAGAGCTTTGTGTAGTTGGAATCTAATCTTCAGATATACCAAGGTGGTTGCCGCCCATTAGAAAATGATGTTTTTACCTTGTTGGCCGTTAGAACTGTGGACTTGCTTACCTGTTGCTGTCTAGCACCACCAGGCTGCAGAAGCTGCAACCTTAGAGCAAGCGACTTTAGGCTGTATAAGAGCTTCAGGTTTAGTCCTGCTGACTTTCTGTCAGTTGCCAAAATATGCTTGATATACAGGGCAACCTGATTTTCCCAGCTAGGGACAGAAAGAACTGGCAAAACTAACTTAGTTAATTCCTAAACCTTTCTTTTAAAATTAAAAAAAATTCACAGGCTTAAAAAGACCTGTGCAGTGTGTGGGGCATAGGCTGTCAGCCTGGTTGTGTGCATCACAGGGCAGGGATGAGGGAGGGGGGGATATGGGGTGTGTGCTGAGTGAGACTCTGGCATCTACCTCTGACTGCCTTCAGCTGGGCATCCTGCTACTGAATGTGGGCACAGGGTCAGTGAGTCTCGTCCTCTGGGAATTGTACTTTCTTTTCCTGGAGCATCTGATAGATGCACATCTCAAGCAGTTCCTTGTCTCTGTCCTTGTACTGTTCTTGTGTGCCAGACAGGACCACACTTCCATTTGATAAAATATTCTTGTCTTCATTCTCTTGTCTGGAGCTCACTGCAAATGTCTACTCTGTTCTAAAGACAAAAGGACAAAAAGGAGCACAGGAAGAGAACAAGAACCTTCCCAGAACATTGTCTGGGTGCATTTGCAGTGCCTGTGAGCCAGCCTGCCTGCCCACCTGACTGAATGGGCGATCTGAGGTTTGAACTCCCTGTTCCATAGCTGTCTGCAGTCCAAGCTGGCCCCTTCAAGGAAATTTGTGCAATCATTTGTGGTGTTCTGCATCAGCCCTGGAAGTTGAGCAGTCGTAGAACAGTTTGGGTTGGGAGGGACCTTTAAAGGTCATCTAGTCCAATCCCCCCTGCAGTAAGCAGGGACATCTTTAGCTAGATCAGGTTGCTGAGACCCCTGTCCAAGCTGACCTGGAATGTTTCCAGGGATGGAGAATCTACCACCTCTGTGGGCAGCCTGTTCCAGTATTTCACCGCCCTCATTGTAAAATATTTCATTACAAGATCTTACAAGAGAGATCACAACCTTACTTGTATTTGGACCTTTCTTCTTCTTGAATTCTTTCCCTCACCCCAGGAGCTCATGGTCAGCCTTGCTGCTTTTGATTTGAAGGAAAAGTCTGAATATTTCCAGAACCTACTGAAGATAGTCGCAGTATTTGGTGATATCTCATCAAAAGTTATACTGAGGGTATCCCTCATGTGTCACATTGTTCATGTTGCAGAACTAAACAGTGTCACAGCACTCTGTAAGCAGAGATCACTTCAGCATGCCAAGGTAACTTCAGGTCTCCATCTCACTTACTGTAGAAAGGGCAGACAGGGAGTACCCAGTCCAGATTCAATTACTTCTGTCACTATACGATCCTTGGTTCCTACGTCTCACAGGAATCTCAGAAGTTGTTTGGGTAGCAAAGTACGATTAAGACCATACCTTACAAAAATAAGCTCTTCTCTCACTGTCTAACATTTTTCTTGGGGGAAGGTTTCTGGACAAGCTGCCAAGGAAACAGTAGGAGAGTTGAAATCACCCATCAGTTGATTAAGAGCTTAGGTCTTTTACCTTGATGACTGATGCAGATGGAAAGATTTAACACATCCTCCCATGGTGTGTTGTTGGCCTGGTTTTCAGGTACCAGAAGTGCAGTGTGAAGCCTGCAGTGGTACAGCTCATTCACAGGAGGAATACAGAGATGCTTTACTGCCCCACTGAAGAGGCATTTCCCTGTCTTAGAGCCAAAACTTGTACCTGTGGTGATTTTTGCCTCCCTGAAGACAGCAACAATGGAGCTTCTTGTGAGAAAGCATCTCAGCCACAGCATTGTAAAAAATGGCATTCTCTGAGCTTTTCAGAAAAGCACAGCTTCTAGTCTTCTTACCTCTTGTAAGAGGTGAGAACTTCCAGGGGACTTCTCTCCTATGCACTTTCTGTTGCTTTGATATCCATCTTTCCTTTAACTGCAAGTACAGATAAGGTCTGTCTCAGACTATATTCCTAAACAGGGATTGTTTTTAGTCTGTGACCACTCCCTTGGGTGGTTTCTATTGCTGCTTTTGGAAGAGAAGCTGCAGTCCCTGATGTAGTCCATGTCCTGGGTAAAGTACTACTAAGGTAAGAGGCTTCTGGTTTCAAAGAAGAAAAAGGGCATGGGTCATCATCATTCTTCTCCATGTGCTTCAGAACATGTATCTCAAATTTTCAGATGTGCACTGCTCACAGAACAAGCTTTAGATATGTTACTATCAGTACAGTATTGCTGTTGAGTCTGTGATAGTCCTATAGTGGAGTCTTGTCCATGGGAAGCTGAGGATCTAAATGCATTCATATCTAAAAGGCTAGGTGACTTGGGAAAATCTTTCTAGAAATCTGTTAATTACTAGTACTGTGCATTTCCAAGCCCCAGACTCAACCGCTCTGAGCCTTATATAGTCTGTAGCACATATCTGGACACCTAAAGGACTCTAGATCTCAGTGGCTTCCTTGCTATGCTACATCATTTTAAACATCTTTGCATGCATAACCCAAAACCTGGCAACAGCTACCCGGGAGCATGTGTGAGGTTTCACAGTGTTAGCTACACCTACACCTCTTTGTGTGCTTGCCCAAATTCTCTGTAGTGAATTGATGTACCAGAACGGCCTATGGTCCCTCAAAAGTCCCGTCATTTTAAACCGGTGACTAGGGGCCTGATAGACAAGTAGATATAGTGTTTTCAGTATCTTTCCCCGCTAAGGCCCTAGAACCTGACCTGTGCCTCAGGTCTGAGGGACTCACAGTAATTGCCTCAAGCCTTGGATTTCCTGCAATATATGGTGGAACTCGGAGCTGTCTGACAGCATTCTGCTGCTTATAGCCACTCTCACCTTGCACTGTGTCAGCAGAGAAGAGCAAGAGACCTCCCTGCAACTGGTGTATACTGTACCCCAAGATGCCTATAGCTCTCCGCTTACCTGGTTTCCTAGATATTTCGGCAGATTAGCTCAGAGGGTAGATGATAATAGCCGCAATGTTTGTGCCTCTGCAACTCCATCTTTCATATTGTCTTTCATAAATGAGGATTCCCCACCACAGAGCCTGTTTTAAGGCACAGACGAACTAGGTCGCAAGTATTTAGCTGTATAAAGGACAGGAATCCAGGATCACTAGCAGGCGAGTTCCCATATCTGAACTCCTGAAGCCACTCTGTACTTCATTCTGGCTTCAGTGCCTGTAAAGCAGCCAGAGATTCCCACCTCGAGGCTGTACACCTTGCCAGCCTTTGCTGAAGTTTAGACAGGGCAAAAGAAACTGCATACGCTAGATGTTGGGAGTTACTTTGACCAGAGGCATGCAGGTTTTCCCAAAGCTCTGAAGAGTCAGTGAAGCTGTGGTACAGCGTAAGAAATAAGTCATTGTATATTTAGTCTTATGTGCTTTCTGGGAATTTTCTAAGGAATGTCTATGAAAAAAAGTAGCTATCACAGATACTTTTGTAGAACAACACCTTTGGATCGTTAGTAACACTGAGCAGGGCTCTTCCCCCCCACCTAGAAATGCGCATGCACCTTACGAGTAATACGCAGCGCCGCTCTGCAGTGAGATGTGTACAAGCAGAGACTTTCCCCGCGTTGAAGTGACTGAGACCGTGACTGAGCCCCGCTGTGCAGGAGGGGTGAGCCCGCAGCACAGCTCCAAGGTTGTTTCTGGTTTGTGCTGCGTGCCGATGAGCAGGGCTTTGCACTCACTGCAGAGGGGTCTGGCTGCACCCTGTGCTCTGGGTGGCCATCCTGGCTGACTCCATCCAGCGCGGTTCGTGTTGGACCCTGTTCTAACAGAAATCACTTCCTTCCTTTCTTTTCCCACCCTCTCTTCCCCAGCTGATAACAAGACGAAAAAGAAAGTAGCTCATCGGGACAGGAAGCAGGACTTCTCTGCCTTCAAGCAGACAGACAGCGAGATGAAGGTTAAAATATCACCGCAGCTCCTCCTGGCAATGCACCGGTTCCTGGCGACAGGCAAGTGCGGGTTATCTTATTTTGCAATCATGCCAGAGCCTCGGAGGCAGTTTGTCAGCAAAGGCCGGTGAGGTGGGTGGGACAGTGCAGGCGGGAAGGGAGGCTGGATTGTGGGGTGACAAATAATGCCACTGTTGTGTTTTTCTTTTTAAATTCTCTCCTCTCCTGTGTTCAGTGTCGGCATGAACCCTCTGAGACATTTACCAGGGGTGGACCAGTAACTTTAAATTGGTCTGAAAGGTAAGGATGAATGCCAAGTGCCGCACTGCATGTCTAGAGTCCGTCAGATTAACGACTAGCAAGTACGCCCCATTAGGAAGAGCTCAGGGAACAAACCAAAGAGGACTCGATACCACTGGCCAGCTGACTGTAATTGCACTCTGGCGCCTTCTGCAGAAAGAGATGCTGGACTTTTTTGCAGGAAGGTCTAAACCTGTTCCATGAGACTTTTTGACTCCAAGTGAAAAACTCTCCTGACACATTTATTGCAGACTGCGCAGGCAGTTGAACTGTACTTTTAAAAATGGATTTCTGGCTGGCTTGTGTGACCTCCGTTGATGACTTCAGGTTTCAGAGGACAGTTGTCTCCATCCCAGAACACCTTGATGTTTTAGCCCTTGAGTGGGCAGTCTGGCAGAGAGGCCAGGACCTTGAATGGTTTCTTGCAGCTGATACTGCCTTTCATCGTAAAGTTGGTCCCTTCACCTCAGAGATGAGACCTGTTAACAGGAGAGCTTGTGGAAAACGTACCTTCCTATTGCTCACGCTGTCTCTCTTTGACATGTAAAGACTTCTTATATGCAGCCCTTTCAGATGGGCATCTTTCGCTGCTATGTTCAACATATATTCATGAGTTGAAAATGATAAAGTTGTTTTGTCTCAAGTTTGCCAGCTCCAGTTGGAAATTAGTACTTCCCCTCCTCTAAGATGCAGTAACTGCCTGCCTAGATGCTCCTAGTCTGCCTTCGTGCTTTATTTTGCCTCTGTGACTTGAAAGAAACATGTATGGGATCGGTTATCACATCTCAGCTGAGGGGCAGTAATTCCTTAAAAGGCTTGGACTCCTACGGCTCATGTGCACGTGAGCGTGTCCTTGGTGAAAGGAAGCAGTTCAACAGGAAGACGTGGATTTGACAGCAAGCAAGGCGTTGTTCATGTAGTGGTACAAGACTTGATGGAGTTCCCTAAACACCTGCTCAACACACATAGTCTTACAGTGCTTCTTCTCTACTTGTTTTGTGGATGAAAGGATTGTGTAGCTTAAATCCGGGTCTGTCTGTGAAGCCACTGCTGAATAAGATGAAAGCTACAGTTTTGGTTTCTCTGTTCTAAATTGAGAATAGTGACTTTAGGAGATGAAAGGTACTGGGGTCATTAAAGGTCATGTTCCTAAATGAAGTGTTAGGAAAGCTTGTCAATTTGCATGTGTAAATCTCGACGTCCCTGGCTTTACTCTCCCACCCAAGGATGAGCTTTTCTGCTTCAAACAGCTCCTGTTGGGAACATTGAAGAGCAAGTGGATAGGGGATGTGTTCTGTGTGTCAGGCATTAATCCCACATGGTTTGAACTGACCTGCACTGTCTCTCACTTTGAGTAACTCTTCCCAAATGAACCGTGGCAGCCTCAATTGTGTCTATGTAGAGCATCTATCTAGAGCAACTTTCTGGTCCCCAAACAGTGATTTTTTTTTTTTTTTAAAGTGCAATAAATGCAGTAACCTTAGTACCTTTTGAGGAAGGAAAAAACCAAATTCCAAGGTTCTTTGTGCCCCAAATGTAAAGATCTTCCATTTATACAACTCTCCAATGAGCCTATACAACTGTGACTCTGAACTCTCAAGAGGGCAAGACTGCCTTTTTCTTTTCCCTTTCAGATGAAGACATGGTTTCTGGTTGTTTTGAAAAATACTTCAGTAATGAAGGTTGGGGTGTTCCTGTTTTTTTTCCCCCCCTACAAATCTAACAGTGTTAAAAGACAGGAAGCCTGCAATTGTATAATGGATCTCTCTGCATCTGTGTGTCTTTTATAGGCAAATGCTTATTAACGAGTATTGATAACTTCTTGCCAGGCATATGAAGTGTAATGCCGAGTTGTATCTTATGTTATAGAAGTAGAAGCATTTGGTCCATCCCAGATGTCAGAGAAGATCCTTCTCAGGCTGCTAAAACACCCCAACGTCATCCAGGAGCTGAAATACGACGAGAAGAACAAGAAAGCCCCAGAACACTACCTCTACCAGCGAAACAAGCCTGTCGACTACTTTGTTCTCATTTTACAGGTCAGACATGTGGTTATGTAGATATGTGCAAAATCCTTCATCTTCTGACATATCCTTCTCTATACCTCTTCCAGTTGTTGAAGTTTGCCTTCTTTCAAACATGGGAATGGAGCTATGGCTCCTGGGAACTGCTCCTGCCTCCTTTATGACCTTGACAACCTTGAAGAGCTCACTCAGCCTCAGTTAAACCAGTTGTGAAGGGTAGACAACACCACCCACTTCCAGTCATCTACTAAAAGTTATTTATGCTTTAAGTGTGACTGGGATAAGCAGTGCAAAGGAATACCTGCGTGCAGCTGACATTGCTTGGAAAACAGGGGAGCAAAAATGGCATGTCATAGGAGTTTGGCCAGGATGCTTTCTCTGATGTGTTTTTTCCTTTTGCAAAAGGAGGCCTGGACAGTTTAGAGAAATGGCATTTTTCTGTGCAATCTTGAAGTCTGTACCTTTGGTGTTGTGAGAAGCGCAGGTTTCGGTGGGGGCATTGCGCCATCTACTGAACTGGTGCCACCTTCTGCCACAGGCCTTGCGGTTCCTGGGCACCCTGTCATCCAAGCACTTGCCCTGCCCCGAAATCACTGCATTTGGGTGGTTTTGAGATTGGAGCCCTAGGTGGTGTGGAAGGGCTGTTTTCTGCTTCTTCTGTACAGGATTGCTTCCAGTGCTGGTGTCTCCTAGGTTTTGTTACTTGTCAGGAACGCTTGAATGGCCAGGTAAAGCTTTACACGGAAACCTAGCTTCCATCTAGCACCATTTGATCAGGAACAGTCTTTAAAAGAGATTTTGCTGGAAAGTTGCTTCTGTTTCTATCCTGCATAACTGAAATCAGTTTTGGTTATAAAAACACAAGCATCATAGCTAGTGTTGTAACACAGGGCTTGAAATCTTCCTTAATGCGGCCTTAGGAAAAAAAAAAAAAAAAAGGGAGAGGTGTTTAAACACTGCCAATGAGAAACAATTAAGAAAGCAGTGGGATATGATATTGTGGATTCAACATAGTTCTCTTTTAAAAAAGGATTGTTTTTTTCAAGGGTTTGAGGAGCCACTGGTATACCGCTCTTTCTTATGTGCTGAATTGTTGCAATCTGAAGTATTCCAGAGGCAAGATAATGCTCCTGAATGAGGTAATGCTGCAGAGATGTAAATGGAGGACATGGGTGATACAAAAGAACAATGAGTTCTTTCTGAGGTATTCTTCAGTCAGTAAATACTTAGCAAAGACAATGTTCTAGCTCTCTAATGCGTTTGGAAAAGTGAGTCTTGCCATAGGTGCATACTATAAAAATGGTAACAAGATTGGTTCTGCAAGGATCAAGAGGGGATAAATACTCTGCTTTTGTACTTAAATGGACTTGGACTCACTCTCTCATGTTCGAGAGACCAAGAATGCTTTCATAGTAAACACATGCCAGAACACAATTAAATATATATTCTGTGCATTAAGCGTACCAATTTAATCTCTGTAGAGTTATGTTTTAGCTGGAATGTCCCGTTTGCAACAGCTTTTCTCTTAGCTAATGGGGAGTTCTGCTGTGGCAGTTTGAGATTTGGGTTTGTCACTGTGGTTTTTTAAACTCCTGTTAGAACATTAAACAGTGGAAAACCAGAAAGCACATGTGCATGCATTTAAACAGAACAGATCTAACAGCATGCATGGGAAATTCTTAACGGCTTTTCGGCTGCTGTGACTATGCCAAGCATGCCTAGTCTTCATATGGCCACCACTGGGAGGCCTGGAGGTGCTGTGTGTGCTGATAGAGCAATGGACTTGGGACTGAAACTCAACCCCTACTACTAATTACTAGTTTGTATTTAGCTCCTAACTCCAGACTGATGGTATGTGAAGATCAAAGCCTGGTTCTGTATGTATTTTGGAGACCTGGTTTTGGCTGGTGAATAACTACCAGCAGTAAGTAGGTTGAAAGCTCTGTGTTTATAACCGGTCCTTATAACCTGGGTGACGAAATCCTACCTTTTGGAAGGCTTATAATGAACAAATAAGCTACTTATTTGTGTTGTGGAGTGAAATTGGTTTTAAAAGGGATTATATGAAGTCGTGGCTTGCAATAGCAGGAAAGTGGATTTGAGAGCTAGGCACTCTCTTCCTGCTAGGTAGATTTTGTGGTTTTTCTCCTCTGGGACAGTTAGACTGACTTGGCATCAGGAGTCATGCAGGTTGAGTTCATTTTCACATTTTTCTGCCCCAGTACAGTACTGTAAAGTTAAAGGCATGATTATTTATTTTAAATGGTTCTTAATGAAATAAACACATAGAAATAAAAATCTACCTTTTGGACTCATTTTGGCCTGATTGTGTCTAGTTGATGTTCAGTCTACTTAGTACACATGGGATGGGCAGTCTGTCTGCCCTTTCCAGCCTAGCCAGAGGGAAAGTGCTGCAGGTAATTACGCTGTTTCCCTGAAATCACACTTTGTGTAGTTCAGCCTGGAAGCTGCAGTGGTGTGCTGTAACTCGGTGCAATACCAGTAAGGGTGGATGGACATGAAAACCAGGCCCCACTAAGAAGCCCATTACTTTTTACTAGTTTGTATACCAAAGTAACTGGGGTGTTTACAGCTATGTGTGGTGTGGTGGGTTCTGTTCCTTTGTGGGATGTGATGTTAAACATCTGGTCCAGCCCACATTGGAACTGGGTGCCCTTGCGGGGTAGCATGGTTTTGTATAGCTTGGGAAGCACTGAGGGTCTGCAAAAGAGCAGGATCTAAAGTTAAGGGTGTTGGAATATGTAAAACCACTAGAAACCAAGAAAACCAAAGAAGCCCCGAGACTGCTCCTTCAGGAGTAAGGGCTTTGCTTCTGTGGGAATCTCACCAGTGATGGCAGACAGCCTCCTTGCGTGTTCTCTCCCATCTCCCTTTCCTGTGTTTGTGTTAGAGGGGACTCTTCGTGTGAGTGTGAGCTGTGGCCCAAAATGTCTAGGTGTCTCAAGACCCCAGATGACTGTGCTATGTATAAGCTTGTTGTGATACTGGGGGAGTATTCTTTCACTCTGCATTGAGGGAAGGCTGGCTGGCGGCACTTGGAGCAGGGCAGTAGTGATCCCACTCCTCTGCAGGCCACAGGGCATCAAAGACCAGGATAGTGCACGGCACAGGAGCATGTTGCCTTCCAGGGTTTGTCCTGGTTCAGGCGTTGTTACAAACTGCAGGGACCATGACACTGCTTAGGAATGGCAGGCAAAGCCTAGCTTTCAGGGCTCAAGTCTGGTCTTGTGCCTCGAGACCTACGGTCCCTTTTAATTGCACCTCTCTCTCCTTTTCCTTAACAGGGGAAAGTGGAAGTGGAGGCTGGGAAAGAGGGGATGAAGTTTGAAGCTGGTGCTTTTTCCTACTATGGGGTGATGGCCCTCACAGCATCGCCAGGTATGTCCTCTTACCTTCTGCTTCTGGAATGTGCTCCTGCACAAGCCTGCCCGTCCCGTGAGTGCGGCGGGGGGAAGCTGCGCAGGGGATCCCCCCGCCGTGTCCATGGGGCTGATGTAAACTATACCTCCTTGCCAGAGAAACCGCCTGCCTGGCACAGCGTCCCTAGCAGGGGCCCGGGACGATGGTGACACTGACTCCAAAACCCATTGGCTGGCAGCGGTTTGCCAGCTCCCCGAGGATGGGAGCGTTGGCCTTAGCGAGTGATGTGTTTGGTACTGGAGGACAGCTTTGTAGTTTTGCTCATGGTACGGTCAGGGATTGAATTAACAGGAATAAATAAATAGTGGCAGAGGGACATCTAGTGGTGCAAAGTACAGATGCCTGGTTAGTTTGGGGATGATTTGCTTTTACCAGTCTTTGTTTTTAAAGCAGTCTTGAGGAAAAGGAGGGCAGTGGTGCAAGAAAAGTGATTGCTTCTGACAGCTTGTGTGAAAAAGTAACAAAGAAGTCGGCAAGGGGGGAGAGCTGGTGTCTGAGGGCGAGGTGTGAGCCAGTTCCCACGGAGGTGTGAGCCAGTTCCTGGCACGCAAACAGTAGCCGCACAAGCCACCACCTCACAGGCACAGGTTGGGGAATTGTTTTATAATCCACCAAAAGTAGGCTCCAGTGCTGTATTTCAGGATTTGGTGATGTATTTTGGTGCCAGCAGCATCACCATTAAGATCTTGACCTCAACTGGGAATCCACGGCTCCACTGGGGAGAGCTGGGGCACTGGTGCTGACCCAAAGCTGCTTGCTCAGCTTCAGGGAGAGACGTTTCTCACACTGCTATCGGATCCTCCTGTTGCAGCAGGGTTTATGTTCCACTTGAGAGGCAGTTTGTTTTAATTGTACACTCATGAGCACTCCCTTTACGTATATGTACCTATGTGTATGTACATTAGCGAACGGCATTGGAATGAAAATGATCTTGTACGTTATGAGTATATCCTTACTAAATTGTGCAGATGACATCAGTTCTCTTGGATCTGTGAGCTCACTTTTACAGGCAAGACTAATTCTTCCTCAATTATATGCACTTTAATTTGATCAGTCTAGCTTATACCTTTTGAGGCTTGACAGATTTGAAAGTGTGCAGAGCACTGGGTGGATTTTATCTGGGTGATAAAATCAAGGAATCGTGACACGTGTGTACAACTGCATCATAACCTTTTGTAACATGGGCCAGGCACAGAGCTGGGTTAGGCATGGTCACTTCTCCTACCAGACCTACGCTTGGAAATCACTTGTGGCATCTCTGTTTTGCCAGCATTGCTCAGTTTGAATGTTTTCAAGTGGGGCTCTTTTTGTGTTGCTAACCCTTCCCACAGCTATGCCAGGTGCCCTCAGCCCTCTGAGGTCAAATGACCTCCTCTTCGCGTGCCCCGAAATCCATCTTGGATTTTGTCATGTCAAACTGAAGGATATGCGCTCTTTTAAATTAATCTCAGCCAACCTTGGATTTGTTTACCTTCGACTGGTTGGGGTTTACCAGTAGCAAACCCCTCATTTTGCTCGTTTTCCCTCCAAGTTTTAAGAGAATTTATTTTATGGTGTCTTGCAGCATCCTGAGACTTCTGTTCGGATGAACCCATTAAAATAAATTCCTCTTGCTCTGTGTAGACAGGAAAGCTCAGTGAAAGTATTAAGTCATTGCAGAACAAGAGAAAGCTCCTGCTCTTATGTGTGTCCTACTTTGACTTCATGTGCCTGCTCTCCCCACCTGGGATATGAAGTCAGTAACAGGAGGATAAAGTATTAAAAAATAAACACACACACCCTCCCCCCACCGAAACCAAAACCAAACTCCAAAACAAACAATCAAACAAAACAAAAGAGTTTTCTTTAACTACAGCTGGGGAGGGATTTGCAGCAGTGATGAGCAGTCTGGTACCCATCCTGACAGGGATGAGCTTGGAGAATCACAACCTTGCTTGACATTTTTCCGAAAACTTGAAGAACTATGAAGTGTCTTTTGGTTTTATTTCTGTTTTTGTCTGACTCCTATAAGGAACAGCAGCCATGAAAGCTTTCTGGCTTGTTTTAACTCTTTGCCTTCCAGGCTGGAGTGCGTGTGCACCACTGCTCCTTTTGAACTATTTTAAAACTGAGTTGGTGGACTGTTCTCTGCTGATGAAATTAGCAAGTGAAAATTGTTCACTTCACTGTAATTCCTTAGGCTTGTTTTTTGGTTTATTCCTAAAATTGTTTAATTGTCTTTTTTTGGTTTTTGCTTTTGTTTTAACCCTTTACTTTTTCACAGTTGATTTGCACTTTTGGTTTTAGTTCTTCAATGTGTGAACTGGCTCCTTCCCCTGTCGAGTGTGGATAGCTGCCGCCTTTCTGGTCGTGATCTCATCCTTTTTCTCTCCCTCTTCTAGTTCCCTTGTCCCTGTCTCGTACCTTTGTTGTCAGCAGAACAGAGTTGTTAGCAGCAGGTTCTCCAGGTAAATCCGCATGCTTCTATTTTCACCATTCTTGTGACTGCCCTGATGCCGTAAAAAGTCAGCTGCAGTCTGTATTTATCTGACCCCTTTGCTCGTTAGGGAGAAGTCCAGCACAGAGTTATGCCTCGCAGGTAGGTATCCTGAACTTTTGTTTATGGTAACTGGTGGCAACATGACAGTTGTCAAAATGGGCAGAACTAAAAACGTGTTGAAGAAAATGTCTTTGGTAATGTGTGCCTGTTCTCGTTTCTCATGTGTAGCCTCGTGGAAAATTAGGAGGAGAGATTTTTTAAACAAAGGTTTTCTTCCCCAAGCTGAGGCTTTAAAATTTCTGTAGAAAATATATTTGGCAGAGGAAAACATCTGCTGCTAAAAGTGCCGTAAAAAGAAAACTTCTTTAATGAATGAAGTCTTTTATTCTCATACGGGTAAATTCTATGGTTTGTGTACAGTCTGGCCATTTCAATTCCTCAAAAGCTTTGAGCTTTCTCTCAGTGAGGTTAATGCCATGGACCAGCACAGTGATTTACTGAGTGGATGGATTTGCAATGGAATGTGCAAGAAGATTGTGGGACCTTCTGTGGGGTTTTCTGGTTCCCGTTTTGCTTAAGACCTTTGCTTGCTGAGTAACCAAGTTGACTGACACAGAAATCCCTTGGGAGAGCAGAGACCAAGGAGGGAACAAATTGGGCCAAAAAGAGCTCTGAGGTGTGGTTGAGCAAGCTGGAAATTGGGAAGGGTCAAGAACTGAGCTTTGCAGACACTGCATGCACAGAGTAGTTGAGAAAAATGGAAACCCGTCAAGAAAGTCTGTAGGAAAAGCAGAATCCTAAAATAGTTTGGGCTGCGGTAACATATTTCTTCCTTTTGAAGTTTTCTTATTCAGATGAAATGGCTTTCCCTAGACCCAAAAGCAAACAAGATAATGATATGCATATTTAAGTGAAACATCTCCTAAACATTAATACATATCATGCATTTCATAAACTTTTACCATCTGCTTCCTGTATTTTCCCCCTCTTCATTTTTCACTTTTGAAAATGTATTTTACCATCAGTCCTTAAAGTAGTCTTACACACATTCCAAACAAACTGCACTTTGTTGCCCCGCAGGGGATTTTTTTTCCTGCCCTGTTAAAGGTTCCTGCTGCTAAACTTCAAAGAAGGAGGAGAAATTTAATCTTTCTTTAATTAAAGTACCTGATGGCTTTCTTTTAAGCTCAGCAGCTTTGATTATCTTTTTTAGCCTCGTTCTTTTGTTTTGCCAGGTCGTCTTTTTTTTTTTTTTTCCTTTTCCTTGCTACACGTAAGTGTACACTTTGCACATGCAAGTTGTTTCCAATATAAATGCCGAGCATATTTTCATAGCTTTTTCCCCAACTAAAAAAAAATAATCAAAAAACCCCAAAACAATAGTGGAAAATAATAATGGGAAGAACCTCCTTTGGAAGGAACTGATACTGTAAACCTGGTCAGTATGACAATGTGGTACCAGTTTTGATGAAACTCGGACCTTCTGCTGGGTCCTTCTGAAAAGGATCCTGTTGTTTAACCTCAGATCTGTATACAACTGGATTGATGTTTTCTTGTGGTTTGTGCTCTTTATCCCCTGGATAGGAAGGTGAGGAGTATGGGAAAACCTGGGTGGAAAAGATCTGTCCAGATCTGGGCTGGCCTGCTAGGGAGCTGGCAGGGTGCTGTTCTGCAAACATGGACCTGCCTGATATTTTTCTGCTGTCTGCCCTTTCTGTATCCTTCCTTCTTCATTATCTTCTCTTCTCCCTCCCTGACTTGTACATGGTTCAGAAGTGACGTCCTTTCCCTCAGATTTTTAGTAATCGTACTTTTTTGTTCTGTCCTTTTCTTTCACCTGTCTTTTTTTGTTGTTGGTTGGTTTGGGTTTTTTTTTAATATATGCTTTGTCATGTTGTTCTCTGTCTGTCTTTGTTTTTTATTAGCAATGTACTATAAGACCCCTGGTGAAAAGAAAGGGCAGATACGAGTCACACTAGTGTAAAGCTGTTCCAGATGGAAACCTTTATCCTAAGCAGCAGTGATGCTGTTCTGGTCACACACAGCCATGTTTTGTGTATGCAGGTAGGAAAGACAGGACAAATTCATCTGGGCTTCGCAGTTCCTTGTTCTCCAGTGGGAATTACAGGATCACGGCTGTGTGCATATAGAGGTTTGGCTCCTGGCAGCAGTTATTACAGCCTGCTGTGGCTTTCAAGATGGCAAGTTGGTGTGGAGGAAAACCTTGCAGGGCTCCGAGTGCTTCCCCCTAAGCCTGTACCTGGTGTTGCCATAGGGACCCGCACTAATTCCATAGTGCAGAAATGGCAGAAAAATGGACAGGTTGTCAGAACCTGTATTTTTCTGTTCCCTTTTCTAAAATTGAAGGAAAGACAACATCAGAAGGGGTTTAAGTGAGAAATAAAAAACAGGGCAATTTAGATGCATCTAGAAGCATCTAAAGTATTAGGTTTAGGAAAGGCTAGATGCAGAGAGGTAGAACACGCTGTGTCATTTGGGCAAGGAGAGATTATATTGGTAGTGATTAAGTGGCAGAAGAAGGGTTGAATTTTAGGGAACTTCGGTTTGGGTTTTTTTAGAAATAGATTTATAGATAGAAAAGTCTTCAAAAAAGAATTTGAAAAGCTTGCAAGGATACTGTTGCTGATTTGTTCAAAGAGGCTTTGTATCTAGATTATGTGAAAACAATCTTTCAGCTGAGAATGGGCATCATGTGATGAGTAGCATAGTTTACATCAAGTTTCAGTTTGGGCTGGCTAAGTGAAATTTAACTGCACTAAGATCCAAAAATTTACCAGTCCCAAAGACAGTTCTTTGATCAGTTAAGTACTGTGTGTGCACTCAGGGAGAAGCCCATCTGCAGGGCTTGGGATCTCTCTTAGGGTGCATTTCTGCCCTCCTATCTTCTGGGTCACTGTGTGGGTGGAAGCTAGGGATGCAAAATGACTGTGGCTTCCTAAAAGCACGTTTACTTGAGATACACTGTGGTTAATCACACTTGCAGGGGACAGCTGCGAGGTTTTCAAGTGAAACCCTGCAGTGCTTAAAGGCCAGTGATGGAAAATGGTGTCTCTGGTTTACTCCTTTCCTGGACACAGATTTTTCTCTGTAATGTGGACTATTTTCTGTTTTGCTGGCTGGCATGTACCACATGGAGCTTGCTCTCCTTCATTGAGGGTTTTGTCCCTTCAAGCACTGGGAGGTACTAGAGGAAACACTGAAGTAAACATCACGTGGACTGTACTCTGGTCCCCTGAGGACTCTTACGATTTTGAAAATGTCCGCTCTGACTCAGGGAACAAGGCATATGTAGGTACCAGGGGGAATAAAGGGGGGTAAGGGTTAGATGGGACTGGCTGTGGAGTTATGATTATGAATCATTAAGGAAAAAAATAAATGTATTAACCATGGTCTGACTATCAAGAGCTCCTGTACGGGAGCCTTGGGAAGCTACTTTTCTCTGGCGGCTACTACTCATCAGCTGAAGCACTGTGACCAGCTGTGCAGAGGGCATGTCCATTGCAGTGTAAACAAAACCAGGTTCGTTTAAGGCATACTCAGTGATGTCGGCTACCAGCTCTGGACTTAAAATGTGCTCTTTTTCAGGGTGATTTGATTGTTTAGCTGCATGTCTAGTTATGAGTGGATTAAGTATTTGCAGTTCTTTTGTGCAACATCACAATTTATTATATCCCTTTGAAACTGGTGACTTTAAATGTTTTTTACTTAAGAAATCTCTCGCTCTTGCCCATTTCTCAGCCGAAAACAAGTCTCCGCCTCGGCCCTGTGGCTTGAATCACTCAGACTCTTTAAACCGAAGTGATCGCATCGATGCAGTGACACCGACGTTAGGGAGCAGCAACAACCAGCTGAACGCGTCTTTCCTCCAAGTGTATGTTCCGGACTACTCAGTGAAAGCACTCACAGACATTCAGTTTGTCAAGGTAGGAAGAAAGCTGGAAAGGCCCTGCTGGAAAGCTGGGCTTGGCTGGTAGGATGGAGAGCCTGGGGAAGGGAGGTGCCTCTAGATTGCCCTGTGAGTAAATAGGATTATGAAAGCAGCCGTTTAATAATCACTTTAAATTATTTTTTCCCAGTATCTGCTGTCTGTTGATTTCTTTTCACTATTCCTCTCATTTAGGCTTGTAAGTAGATTGGTCACGTAAGTTTCTGGATTTCAGGTCCCTCAAGGAAAGATTATAGAAAATTACGTCTTTCTGCTTTTAGTCACGAAAGACATATCCTTGTGGAGCCTTTGGAGCCATCTGAGATGGAGACCCTTCATTATCAGACAGTGTCCTTTTCCAAAGGATGAGACATTTTCTCTTGGTTGCAGTTTTTATTCACTTTTGATTTTGGTTTCAGTTTGGGGTTCTTGATCTTACTTTCCGAGTTGTCATCCTTCTTCTGCTTGGAGAAGTCTTGGACATTTCTCTTTATCTTAACCTCACATGTTAGGCTCATGTCTCATACTACCAGTGAGTTGCTGCATGAATACAGCTCTGTCCCCCAGCATGGTGCATCCCACGCTGAAATGTGTGCGAGTCCTGTGGGACAAGAAATCTAGCTGAGCTGAGGAACAGCCAATGCCGGCAGCAATTCCAGCCCAGCTGGGACATCAGGGAAGCTGACGTCCCATGTCCAGAAGCTGACCTTGATGCTTTTCTTAAATTAAATGCGTGTTCACAGTTTCTTTGTATGCAACTCAAATGATTTGTGAACTCAACTTCTGTCAAAGTTAATTCAATATTAAGAATGTGGAATAGAGTAGAAAAACTAGAATGCTAAATTGATTTTTCTGTAGCCAAATTGTACAAGGTGTAAAAGATGCAAGTGTACTGGTTGATGGTTCAGGCCTTCAATGTTTAGATCAGTAAATGTTTATTACTGGGCAAGTGGTTCTCACTACAGGTTTTGATGGCTAATCTGCTCTCCAGAGCAACTGCCCATCTTACACTGGTTATGTGGAGTCCTTCCAACTTTCACTGTGTTCATACTGAGGCTAATGAATGCTAAACTATCTGGTGTCTCTGCATTCAGGCTCGCACGCCTCTTTTTGCGTCACTCTGCTTTACACATAGGACAGTGTACTCAACATTAGTGTTACCACTGTGCTACGTGGGCACTTTTTCAGTTAATACCTTGTAAACCAGGGTTGTGACCTACTCGTGCATGTTTGGATTTTGCTTTTGGAATTGTGACCTGGTCCACCTGACGCTCTCCATTTCCAGTCCCCCTCTCTTGGGTTGCTACTGAAACTTACAGTTTTCTAAAAGCCTTGTTTCACTTCTTCCACCTTCCTGCCTGCTGAGATAACCCACTGCGGTTGTAGCACACAGGGCTGCCAGTGCACGTGCATTCTGCTGCCTGTCCTGGCTGAGAAGGCTGACCTGGAGGAGTTTATGGGGCTGGTTGCTTGTGGCTCCAGGAGGAATTCTCCCCTCTACCACCATATGCAGATATATGGGGCTATAGGCTTCCTTGCCTCTGGGGCATCGTGGGCAGTAACACTCTGCTCTAGGCCAGCTCCTGTCATGACTGTTGTGCTGAGTGCAGCCAGCTGTTGCAGAGACCAGTGGAAGAGACTTCATGGGTTGCTAATTTGGACTCATGTCTATGGAGATCCCAGTCTTTTCTAGAACCGAACTTATCAGAATGAGGCTGTAGCTCCTGCTGCGTTTGCTGGCCTAGACAAGAGCAGTAGTGCTTGTACCCTCCGGATCTGTAGGGACTCTGAGCCGTACCAGGAGCTCGCTGAAGCTGGGGGAAAGACTTCACCGAACTCTGGTTCTGGCCTTAAAAACGTGCATGGTTAGAAGGAAATGGAGATCTGAATAAATCCCTGCCTTTGAACAGCATGGTGATCGCACAGCTCTGTGCTGCCAGCCTGTCTGGAAAGGTCACCATGCTGTGGTGTCGAGTTGGGATGCTCTAGGCTTGCAAAGCACAGGGATGTTTTATGGAAACAGGTAACAGGGTTTGAAGTATGATCATCTGGAAAGGGAGGGCACTTTATTTTCTCCGTGTGTCCCACGGGAGACACAAAAGTGTGACTGGCTGTTTTTGTTCCTTCCTTCTGTCCTTGGAGCAGATCTCAAGACAGCAGTACCAAAATGCCCTGATGGCATCCCGGATGGACAAAACACCTCAGTCCTCGGACAGTGAAAACACTAAAATCGAACTGACTCTTACGGAGCTGCATGACGGTTTGCCGGACGAGGCCGCAATTTAACAGAACTGTGTGACTCACAACAAGCCCAACCACAGTATGCACAGTGAAGGAGCCATTTAGGAGCTGACTCCCCACAACCCACCCATCCCATCTCCTCAGCAGGACCAGCCCTCGCTCCTTCCTGCCTCCTCCCCCGAGTGTGAACACCGTTAGTATGTGCTTGCAACACTGTGCTGCATCCAGTGTTCTGAGACCAAAGACTTTTGCGTCCGTTCTGGGAGCAGAAGAGGAAGAAACAGGAAGAAAGGAGCAAAAAGCAAGAGAGACTAAAGCCCCAAGCGTGCTTTGGGAATGGTGAGCCACCCTTGAGAACGATGAAAATACTTCTTGCAAAGTAGAATCATGTTTATTTTTTATCTGTATTTTTGATCCTTGTTGGGTTTTTCCTCCTCAGACATGTATGGAGAAGTTTGAAAGCTCCTCCAGTTATTTTTTCAAGAGAGACCATGTTTTTAAAAAGTATTTTGCAGAGTTTTAAATTGTTTCTGTCCCTCCTGAACCTCAAATGGGCTCTGTTGTGGTTTTGTGAATTGGTTCCAGTGTCCTCAGGCCTCTTTTCACCCCTCTCTGGTCCTTTTTGTTGCCCCGTTGAAGAAGTTAGTAACTGGTACTTGTATGTTATTTGTGTCATAAGAATGAGAGAGCTTCAAGGAACTTCTGGTTTCAGCCACCTGGAGGGCCAAGGGATGAGTATTATTACATTCTTCTAGTCAGGTTTCA